TTTAGCCTATTTTTAAGAAGTGCTTAAAATATTAAATAATATAAGTTTTAGGTTATCAAACGGATTTAATTTATGAAGTACTTAAAATATTTAGTTTTAAATCTTAAGAAGTTTTATCAAACAGCCCTAATACTTGAGAATTCAAGTTTAAAAGATGTGTAAAGAATGGAAGTGACTAAATTTTTTTTCATTTGGGTATAAGATTTGTTGAAAATAAAGATGCTATTTTTTATTGAATCCACTAATTTGATAACTACCATGGATTAGTAAATATATTCATCATGATATATCAAATCAGGTTAATGGCATCACTGATCATGAAATTAATGGATAGCCAAGATGAATAAAGTTCACAAGTCGAGAATATTAGGAGGAAAAAGATTATACCATCATAAAAAGTTGAAAAAAGTGAAAAGCGAATGAAACTTTAGAAAAAGAGATTGGTGATTGATGGATTTACTTAAAAATCTGAGATAGACTTTGTGGACATATTTTTATAGCGAACTTTACTTTTATCAAGATAGTGATGTCTAGCTAAAATGGAACATGTGCCATATATATTAGATGTCAAAAAAGTCTTTCTTAATGGGGAACTAAAGTAAGACACCTATAAGGAATAACCTCATGTTTTTAGGTTAAATGACATGAGTACAAAGTCTATGAATCGAAAAAAATCTCTGAATGGACTCAAACGATGAGTTAGACAATAATATTTAAAGTTTCACTAGATAATTTTTGAAGTATGATTTGAATTAAGTATTCCATTGTATATATATGGATATGTCATGAAAATTTATTATTTAATTACTCAGTGTAGCTTGATGTTTTATTGGCAAGAAATTATCTGGTTAGGATAAAAGAAACTAAAGCATACGTAGGATCTAAATTTGAAAAAGAGGATATGGGTGATGTTAATTATGTCTTGACGATTAGAATTTCTTGAGATAGCAATTCAAGACCATTTATTTGAATCAAGGAAAGTATTTTGAAAAGATGCTCAAAGGATTCGATACGAAGAATTACATGTTATTGAGCACTTATGTCTGTAAGGGTCAAAGCCTAAACAAATAGTATGCGTCTTGGTACAAATGAGGGAATATGAAAAATAATGAAAGTCCCGTATGCCCAAGAACTAGGTTAGCCTCATGTATCCTATGACAAGAATTAGACTCGATGTTAATCATGTGAGTAGGATTGGTGTGTGAATATAAGTCCAATCTAAGTGAGGCACATTGGTAGACAGTGAAAAGAATATTCAAATACGTGAGAGACAAGCAAAATATTAAATTACATTTTGGATTAAATTATCTAGAATTGTTGGCTAAGTTAAGATACTGGTTTTACATGGGATATAGATGATTGAGTATCTACAAGTAGCCTTGTATTATTATATGGAGGAATAGTTATTTTCTTGGTTACCCAAAAAGTAGAGTTGTGTTGCAACAGACAACCGAGGTCAAGTCCATGGCGTACAAAACAACGGTACATAATGTAGTTTGATTAAATGCTTTATTTAAAGTATGATATACCTAATGGGCCAAATAATGTGTTTTTGTGACAATAAGTCTGCCATCTCTTAAACACATTGATACTAGTTATTCAAATATATGATATAGTGGAGAGGAGTAAAATGAAAGTCGACTATATTCCCTCGGAAGAAATGGTAGCCGACCCTATGACTAAGGGATTGTCTCTGGAGAAATTCAGAGGGGGCATGTAACTGCAATAGTATTATCGATTTCCTAGGTGTTGCAGGGTTACATGATAAAGGGCATCTTTCAAGAATTTTTGCGGACGCCTAAAATTTATGGAAAGATGCAACTCCATTTGATTGGGATAAGAATTGATCGGATAAAAGGTAGGGGACACCAGTAGGTATGCCAGGGCTATCGCATGCTCATGAGTGTAAAGTCCACTTTGAAGCACCATGAGATCTCTACATAGTCACTTAAGGTGCATGGTGAATTAAGTCGTCGAGGGGTATCGAGGAAAACCTCCGTATAAGCCTTAGAAGAAGTACTTGAACGAAATTTCGAGCGCACGTCAACATATTGGTTAAATTTGTGTTTGACTGAATTTGTCAATGGTATTGAGGGTGTAGACCTTATAATCCCTAATATAGAACATTGATGTTGATCACCTAAGTACAGAGTGAATCGAAGTCACTTGAAGTATCTTGTGGATGAGGATATTAAATGGAAAAGGGTGCAGTCAGACTCGATCGCAAACATTGTTTTACCCATCTGGGACCAACAAATCGAAGATGGAAATTGCTTTAACCAAGTTCCTCTTAAACCGTGGTGGAGCCAATTTACGATCAAGGAGTGGGGAGCATGGCCCCATTAGTTTTTCAGAATTATGTGTCAACCCTATAAGTTTTGTTTTATTTATAAAACTTTTTAATATGACTTTTAATGATCCTACAATATGTCTTTTCTTAATTTGTAGTGAGTCCCAACACGGAAAATCCTAGTTCCGTCCCTAGTGTTAAACCAAGTATCTCAAAGGAATAAGGTCACGGAAATTTGAATCAAGTTAAGCTATAAAAACGCCCTTCAAGAGAATTTAAACTAATGGCATATGATGTTGCAATTGGAAGTTTTGGTATGAAGTAGAAATTGTGTAAACTTTGAGGACATCCAAACACAATCATTATCCACAACAAAAATTGCAAAATTTGCCTGATGTAATTTGTTTGGTAATATGATCCGAAAGTGTTCTAGATTGAGCGAAGCCAAAATAGTGCAGTAACTTCACCTTGGATACAAGCATATTGCTTAGTGGAAAACACACACACACAAACACATTTATATATATATATTTAGGTCATATATAGGTCTGTGAACAACTCATGGCGAATCCAACAAGAAAGCTTATATAAGGACGCTCTGTCGCTGTATCCAATAAGAAAGCTGTTGCTTTCTTCTGATAAGTTGCAGCACACAAGTATTTTAGCTTATATTCAAAATTCCAAGGAAAGGAAACAGGGAGAGGATTAAAACATGATATTCCAAAGGACTACCAAAGACACAAATAATGTGACAAATAGAAAACATTAGTTTTAAGATTTACGGGCAGAGAGACTGAGGGTGAGGAGAGAGAGAGAGAAACGTGGGGTATTTGTTTGTTTTCTGCCTTTTGAGGTGGAGTTTTGTTTTCTCGCTCTTGGATGCATGCGAATTGGAGTATTAATATGCCTATAACATCCTTTTTATAATGCATTGTTTATGATAAACATCTTTTTGTATTGCTTTTGGAGGCATTTTCAAGAGTTCCATCTTCATTGGACTGAAGTTTTCCCCCTCGGATTATTGCTTATATGTAGTTTATTTGTTTGGAATTCATGCCATACTGATCATGTATACTGGAAAAAGTGATTTTCTTTCTTTTGGACCAGCAATCCCCTGGAGAGATGGTTCACTAATAGACCAAGGGATAAGTAGTTCCACTCATTCACATTCACATCATGAATGTTTAGAATATTGATTGTGGAATTCTTGTTTAGATTTACCTCAGAAATGTCTGTGCATGTGTGTAGGCATATGTAAGAGGTAAAAAAAAAAAAAAAGGAGAAAACATCTTGAGAAAGCAAGGCATTGCAATACAACAGGCGGCACAGTAGGAAGAAGAGCTTTAAAAAAGATTGACATAGCACCATTTTAAAAATATTTTTGGCATTTTATGGGGTTATAACATTGAAGGTTTTCACTTTCCCAGGAAAAAAAAAAAAAAACATTTAAGGTTATTTTTATTCTGGCCTTTTGGTTGGGGGAAAGAGAGGCCCACTTTATTGAAGCCATAAATCCTCGTGTTCCTTGGGTTGATATACCAAACTCCACCGTGATCAAAAAGGTTGCACTCGATATACAATAATACGTTTACAGCAGGGTTTGAGAGAGATAAGCAGTGAAAGATTTTACTCGCACCTCATACTTGATACATATGTTATTTTGCCTATTTACCTGCTGGGATTATCTCACTTTGTTCACCAAAGATTGGATTATGAAACTCTGAATATGAATCTACCATTATTTTTTTTCCCACCAAGTGACAATCTGTTGTTGTCAACAACTTGAACACCTGACTTCATAAGTTTTGTTGGTTACTAATCTGACCTAATAACATTGGTTATCAGCATGCCAACTCAGTTATAACTAGTTGGTGTTTGGTATCATTCCAGCAGCGAAACTATTGTTTATTGTATAGAAAGCTTGATTTTTTTTTTTTGGTTCTCATGAGTCTCCATCACATAATCAGCATGCCGTTATCACTTATCCCTCCTATCAACCGGGTTAAAACTACGTTTTGGTACCACATCTCATTTTTTATTCAAATGAAAACTTAACACATAAAAATTGCTTATTTTATTTCTCCACCCTAATTTATTATCTTTACAATCAATGGTCAAGGATAAATCAAAGGAAGATCAAAGGTCCAAAGTTATTTAGAGGTATGATATGTAAAAGTTCACACTTTAATGCCCTCAATTATGTTCTCATATTGTGTTGCTTCCACAATTTTAATGTTTCTCATATTGCACTTTCCTTATAAGTTTCATACCGTCTCAATGTCTAATACGAAATCAACGAGTAGTTAGCCCAATAGATAAGAACTCAAATTTTCTCATTTAAAACTTGAATTCGAGTCTTTATAGTTACGATAGTTTATTGGAATTACATTTATTCTTCAGCACCCAGAGCACGCGGTGGGACCTGAGCTTCGACCTCAACATAAATGCGATGATGTCCCTTGCAAATAACTATGTGGTGCTCAGATGCAATATTCTACAGCGCATATGCAGAATAGTCTATTTACAGATTCATTTTATGTACCAAAAAAATAAGGGTAACACTGACTTTTGTTTGGGAGGTAATCTGAAACAAATAACCACAGTTAAGGGACTATGTTCTTGGGACAAAATGCAATTGAGGTTATAGTTAAGGGAGTCAAAATGTAATTTTCCTTCATCAATTACACTTGTCTTGCGCCAACATTAATGCTTTGCCTGCCTTCTCCTATTCTAACAGACAGCATGAATAACTCCACAATCCAATTTGAATCACAAAACACAGTCAACAACCATACCTCAATGGCTTTCACAGCAGAAAACTGTCATGAGAATGGGGCTAAAGAAAGCCGAAATCTTCCTAAAGGAAAGATCCACGGTAGAAGGTTCATAGGAGTGAGACAAAGGCCTTCAGGAAGATGGGTAGCAGAAATCAAGGACTCATCACTGAAGCTGAGGCTGTGGCTCGGAACTTTCGATCGAGCCGAAGAAGCTGCCATGGCTTATGACAGTGCTGCTCGACTTCTTAGAGGGAGAAACGCAAAGACAAACTTCAAATCTCATGAAGTCATGATTTCCCATGAAGAAAATTGCAGCTTATTGAGAAAGAATCCAAGGCTTTTTCAGCTTCTTAAGCATGCTATGTTGAAGAATCTGGCAAAGTCCTCATCTATCAATTCTTCAAAAGCTCCATGGAATGATCAGACTAGTGGTGATCAAGCTGATTCGACGGTTTTCGATTCCTTTGTTGAAGAAACTATGGTTTGTTCTTCAGGTGCTGAAGATGAGATTGGGTGGTATGGTGCTCAAGATAGAGAAAAACTTTGCAAGCTCTCACTTGGTTGTTCGAAGGTTTATTCTTCTGTTGTTGTGGCTCCTTCTTTTAGTGCTTCTCAAACTCATGGAGAAGAATAATAAGAAAAGAACTGGCTAGAGACGCAATAATTGCTTGATTCTCTTTTTTTTTTTCATGCAAATGGGTTGTCAAATTGTAGCATATTTGTGGGAGGAAGCAAGTAGTTTATCTTGTAACATTCTGATTTTCATTCCATATGTCATTATTCATGTAGAGCCCTAGGGGTTTTGAGATGTATTCCGATTCCAGCCTTTGGGGTTCGCTATGGTCTATTTCACATGGTATAATACAAAGCTTTCGTGTGTTGACTGTGTTGTGATCGTGCAGCAATTATGATGAATAATAAAGAATCAAACAATTAAGAAAACAAGAAAAAATAACACACAGAGATTTACGTGGTTCGACAATGTGCCTATCCACGAGAGCGAGCGGCCGTTCTTTTTTTTCATTATTAAAAGTAGGGTTACATCTTAAGTATTTATATAACCCTAATACGGACGTATTTACAAAAAATATCCCTGTACCGTACCGTGGGGGCATTGCCCCCTCACCCCCAACTAATCAGCATCCTCTTTATACAAATCCTGCAAGGCAGATGCCGTCGCGGGTTCTGCCCGCTCCAGCATCTGCCTCATTGTCATTGTGCACACAGCAAATATGAGCCACACATACTCTAACAATCTCCACCTTGGCAAATATTCACCCCTTAGGAGAAAAAAGAGGACATGTATTCGAGAACTCCACCAGGGACGCTAAGTTGAGGCATCTCCCATCTAGCAACTAGAGACATTAATCAAGTTCAAGCAATGCTTGAACTTGTCTGTAGTAACAGGCTTTGTCAACAGGTCTGCTGCATTCTCAGAAGTGTGAACTTTCTCAAGTAATAGTTCACCAGAAGAAATCAGTTCCTTGATCTTATGAAACCTCACATCTATATGTTTGGTCCTCGCATGATACACCTGGTTCTTTGCCAAATAAATGGCACTCTGAATGTCACAATGCAACTGAATTCCACCTTGTTGGGCACCTAGCTCCTTGACTAACCTGTAAGCCACAAAGCCTCCTTGACAGCCTCAACTACTGCCATATACTCTGACTTAGTAGTAGATAGTGCAACTATAGGCTGTACCATGGACTTCCAACAAATAGATCCTCTCACAAGAATAAACACATAATCTGTGGTAGACCTCCTGTCATCCAAGTCTCCTGCATAGTCTGCATCCACATATCCCATAANCATGGACTTCCAACAAATAGGTCCTCCCACAAGAGTAAACACATAACCTGTGGTAGACCTCCTGTCATCCAAGTCTCCTGCATAGTCTGCATCCACATATCCCATAACTGAAGGGTCACTCTGTTGTCTGCTAAACATGATGTCATAGTTGTAGTGCCCTTCAAGTATCTGAAAATCCACTTGACTGCATCCCAATGCTGTCGACCCGAATTTGAAAGAAACTTGCTAACCACGCTGACAGCTTGTGCCAAATCTGGTCTTGTACAAACCATAGCATACATCAAACATCCCACTGCACTAGCATATGGGACCTTTGACATGTCATGAACTTCATCATCTGTCTTCGGGCACTGAGCGGTAGACAATTTGAAATGATTCGCCAAAGGTGTACTTACTGATTTTGCATAACTCATGCTGAACATGTCCAACACCTTCTCAACATAGCTATACTGAGATAGCCATAATCTCCTGGAACTTCTGTCCCTGCGAATCTCCATCCCAAGAATCTTCTTAGCCGCACCCAAATCCTTCATGTCAAATTCTCTGCTCAACAAAGTCTTCAACTTGTTGACCTCACTCATACTCTTGGCAGCAATCAACATATCATCCACATAAAGTAACAGAAAAATAAATGAATCATCATCAAGCCTTTTTACATAGACACAACAATCATACTCACACCTTTTGTAGCCAATTCGGATCATGTAAGAGTCAAATCGTTTGTACCACTGCCTCGGAGACTGCTTCAGCCCATAAAGTGATTTCTTCAAATTACAGACCAAATGTTCCTCTCCAGGGAGACTGAACCCTTCTGGCTGTACCATGTAAATCCGTTCCTCCAAGTCGCCATGAAGGAAAGTTGTCTTTACATCCATCTGCTCCAACTGCATATCTGAATGTGCTACTATTGCCAACACTGTCTTGATGGAAGTGTGTCTGACCATGGGGGAGAAGATCTCATCATAGTCAACCCCTTTTCTTTGTGAGTAACCCTTTGCTACTAGACGAGCCTTGAATTTTCCCCCCTCCTTTTCTGATACTGCTTCTTTCTTCTTATACACCTATTTGCACCCTATTGTTCTCTTTCCCTTGGGAAGCTTCACCAACTCCCACGTTTGGTTTTTATGCAGAAACTTCATCTCCTCCACCATAGCACCCACNTTCTTCTTATACACCCATTTGCACCCTATTGCTCTCTTCCCCTCGGGAAGTTCCACCAACTCCCACGTCTGGTTCTTATGCAGAGACTCCATCTCCTCCACCATAGCACCCATCCATCTACTTTTCTCTTGGCTTTGTACTGCCTCCTGAAAAGTTGTAGGATCCCCGCTATTAGTAATAAGCGCATAAGAAACCAAATCTTTAAAACCATACCTGGTAGGCAGCTTGATATTGCGTTTGGGCTTGTCTGTGGCTATATTATGATGCTGCTGATCACCTGAGATAGAACGCTCTACATGCTGAGCATCCTCTTCTCTACCATGATTCTCTAGCTCCATCTGCACCACATGCTCATTAGTGCTACAATTTTCTGGTATTTGTTTCCCTTCTTCCTGAGTACGCTGCAACATGGCTTTTTCATCAAAAATCACATCTCTACTGATCACCATCTTGTTTGCCTTCGGATCCCAGAGNCACCTGCACCACATGGTCATTAGTGCTACAGTTTTCTGGTACTTGTTTCTCTTCTTCCTGAGTACGCTGCAACATGGCTTTTTCATCAAAAACCACATCTCTACTGATCACCATCTTGTTTGCCTTCGGATCCCAGAGCTTGAAGCCTTTCACTCCTTTCGATATCCCAGAAAGATACACTGTCTAGACTTCGCATCAAGCTTCGACCTCTCCTCACTAGAAACATGTACATAGGCTGGACATCCAAACACTCTCAAACCAGAGTAGTCTACCTCACTGCCTGTCCACACCTCATCTGATACTTTCCCATCTAGTGCTGCCCTCGGTGATCTGTTAATCAAGAAACATGACATATTCACTACCTCTGCCCAGAAATTCTTTGCAAGCCCTGCATTCAACTTGAGACACCGAGCTTTCTCGGCTATCGTTCTGTTTATCCTTTTCGCTACACCATTTTGTTATGGTGTCTTGCGGACTGTGAAGTGTCTCTTGATCCCATGCTGCTCACACAACTCCTGGAACTTTGAATCTGTGTATTCAGTACCATTATCTGACTTGAGGCATTTAATCTTCCTCCATGTCTGGTTCTCTATTTCAGCTTTCCACAGCTTGAACTTGGCAAACGCTTCAAACTTGTGTCGCATGAAGTACACCCAGACCTTTTGTGAGTAATCATCAATGAAACTCACGAAATACATGTATCATCCCCGTGATACTACGCTAACTGGTCCCCAAACATCTGTATGGACATTATCGAGAACCCTCTCTGTCTTGTGTGTGGCTATCTTGAACTGCACCCTATTCTATTTTTCAAGAACACAATATTTGCAAAAATTGAGTTTGCATATCTTGACACCCTTCAATAGATTTTTCTTATGAAGCTCTATCATTCCACGCTCATTCATATGACCCAGCCGCATATGCCATAAAACTATATTATCTAATTCAGATTCTACAATAACAACTCCACCTACAATTGTAGTACCTCGGAAAGGATTGAATATAGTCTTCATCTCAGATCCTTTTTTCTCTCTCTAGATTCTCTGTTGCAACAGTGAACAAAGGTGGTAATAGGTGATGGTTGATGATGGATTTAGTCTAGGTGATTGGTTCAAAGGTGGTGGAGGTGGAGGTGGGACAAGTTTGTACGTGGTTTTGGTCTCTCTCTCTCTCTCTCTCTAGATTGTCAAAATTTTAGGGTAAGAAGAACATATATTTAAATTCTTAAACTTTATTCAGAAGGGTATTTTTAATATTCTAGAAATTACTATTAATGACATCAGCTCAAGTTTTAAATATAAGGGAGTTTCGTATAATTTGTAAAATGTTGTCCGTGTAATAAAAACCAAATGTCAAGAGTACTGGAAAATTTCCCTAAAATAGTGTTCATAAATAGGAGACCTATGGACTTTAGATGAGAGAAAAAAAGATGTTGATCTCACGATTTTTGGCTCACTTGCTGTACAAACATGAATGACATTATTAGAATAAAACCAAATATGACGATGCTCAACTCAATTCACACTTCACATAATGAGATTGGGACCCACAATTTATACATCCCCACCTCAAAATGGGTTTGGCCAAAGGTACTGCTGTGCCAAGTGGGACCATTTCATATATCCTCATTCAGTCGCATACAAGTAACCAATCTACACTAGTTGTTTGGTGGAATTAAATTTACTCTTCAATAGAGCACGCAATGAGACATTAATTTCGGTACCGACGTAAGTGAGGTAAGATTTCCGGCTAAGAAATAGTATTCTTTGACAAATATGTGGGGTAATCTATCATCATGTCTATTTTAAATATGAAAAAACACATGTAACATGTCCTTATAATTGTACTGTACCTAATTAAAGTAGTGAATTTGGAATAAGTAAAACAACCACTGAAGTCAAGATCATATTGATGTCTATGCCATCATTATTTTTATCATTATGGTGGAATACTATTTTCATGCGCAAGTCACAAAATCGAGGCCCCTTCACAAGCAGCAATGGGAAGAAAAAACACAAATGATGGAGATGGGAAATGCAAGCCTTCAGAATTACCCTACAGCATGTTGTCAAGTTTATCTTGCAAATCCTGTATGGAAACCATGTTAATGCTCTGCATCTCTTCGGGTGTATACTCCGATTTCAGTCGGGACTGTACTTGAATATGGGCCTCCACAATGTTAGTCCTGTAAAATTATGAGATAAATTTAGGCACTTAGTCCAAGAATAAGATTTTGATAATGGAATAAAAAAGGTGGGAAACGTTCTTGAGTGGATTTCACAAATGTAACCACTATATTTGGTATGAGAACAATCGAATACAATAGCCAGCCACAACACAAACAAAATACTGCCAAGCTTAACTATACAAAAATCATTTTAGGAAGTTGATGGCAGATATCATCAACCAAGAATGTATATATAGCTTCCCTCAAGGCAGGCTCACTGAATAGACTCAAAAACTAGAGACGGGATTTGAAAAGCATATGGCAGTCCACCTCACAATGATGATGTTTTCATGAATTTCTAAAACTTCTACAAGTATTAAAAAAAATGTATAGCTTGCAGATAAAGCACTACTAGAAACTTTAACTGTTGAAAACAAAGAACCCTGCCACATATGAATAACCTCTAAGAAAATGTGTGATCAGGGTAAGCAGTCAGATTCTTTGTCATCTAAACATGAAATTACATTTGTCAATTCTGAACAAATATCTTACTTTATGGGTTTGAAAAGTATTGTACGTGTTGATGGGTTCTGCAAATAAAGCTTCATTTTTTCCATCACGCTCGGCAACTCTTGCTGAACGGCAGCACTGACCTGTTTTAGAGATGCATACGTTATATCGACTCATGTCATACTATAGCACTTATAATCTTTAGCGGCCTATTGATGTCATATTGATGCAATATCAACAAAATGAAAAGAAATCATACTGATGCATTATCAACAAAATATTATGCACATCCATGCAGTATAAAAATATATAAAGCAAGAATACGTACTACTAAGGTTATATTCTACAATGTTTATTTGATTGCTTCGCATGATTTTCATATTGAGCACCCACCACAAGGTAAAGCTGGAGAAGGCATCAAAACTTAGGAATCTAGGCAAGTCTCCAGCCGTAATCTCATACTAAGCCAGCTAACAAGCAATTAATTTGCAAAACATACCTTCTGAACAAGTTCTCTAACTTTATCTGGTGTAGCAAAAGCTTGATCCTTGAGTGGTTTTGCCATAACTGACTCCAGCTTTTGATTCTGACTGCCCAAGGACAATGCAACTTTCACAGCTGTCACCTTCAGAAACGAATTTAATTTTAAAGACCATGAAGGACTTCTAAAAGCCAAAGAGAATATCTGTGAAGGGAAACTTTGCAAAGTCCAAAATTTGTGCTATGGATCTTTGATACATATGAATTTAAATTAAATTCAATACAAACTATTCTCTCCTATTGAGGGACAACACAGGTTTTGTCCAACTTGCAATTCAATACAAGTTGGGCATGACATCTTCAGAATGCTGCCAATTGGCACCTGGCATGTTGTGGCATGACGTGTTAAGACAAGTAACAGACAAGAAAGTAAATAACTGATTGAGAACACAATAGATGATGAACGTGAGCACATGACTTGAATATTTATTATATTTTCACAGGATGCCTTTTGCACGATGTGATGAAAAGTCATCGGACCCGTCTTGCCTAGTCGAAGGGTCTCCGATTTGATAAGAAGTAGTCTCAAATGTAGTAAAACTCTAGGGTAAACTGTATTGATACACCCTCAGTTTTGAGGAAGTAACAAGGTGAACCCTTCACATTTGATAAATGACACAGAGACAACGGGTGATCTGTTACAACGCACAAAATTCAGTAGAGTTTTTGTGTCATTTCTTGCAAATGGTCTCATTATTATCATATCATGTTACGGAAAGTGACGGGTTTTCAGTATAATTTATTGTAAAATATAAAGAAACTCATCTGCAAAAATACTGGAAGTGAAAAACGACAAACCTTAGTCACAAACGAAAGCATGGGATCCACAACTAGCTTAGTGACTGACATAATGAACTCTTCACAAGTGGATTTGAGGCTTTTCTCCAGATCCTAGATGTCAGCAATTTGTAACCACACATTACACTATGAACAGAAGGGAACACATGGCATATAGAATTAAATATAGCATGTTCTATTTATTATCACTAGAACCGCATGGCGAAAATAAAAAAACAAGATTAATTTGAAGAAACTCGCCCTAAACTCGTTGGTGTAATATGCATCATCCTTAGGAAGATGGCCAAAGTAATTACCCCCCGGATCAAGGTGATTGTGGATTTGTGATACTCGGTGCAAACTGACCAAACTTTGCCACATGTGCATAGATATGGATTGATAAACAAAAGAGGATGCAAGAAGTAATGCTATAGTTTCTCCAACCAATGCTTTTGTAATTCACCAATAACATACTGATGGACACACTTTGTTGTTTTGTTTATCCCTGCTTTCAACAATGGTTTAAAGATCTTTCTTCTAACAATCAAACAGAAGTGGATATACGGCGTAATGCTATAGTTTCTCTAACCAGTGCATTTGCTAACACACTGATGGACACACTTAGTTGCCTGTTTATTCCAGCATTGCCAGCTTTTGGCAGTGGTTTAACGATCTTTCTTCTCACAATCAAACTATTACGTGTTGGAGTTATAGCAACCTAATTTATTAGGCCTAGTTTATTAGGGTTATTTTTCTCTGTTTACCCTTATTATGACTTTTATATTTTGCCTAGACTATAAGGATGTTTAGGTCACTTTGTAATATTATTTGGCTATATATACGGGACTTTACTCTTAGTTTGAATATCTCTTTCACTCACATATATCTCTTGTTGGTATCAGAGCCCCTAACCCTAACCCTAGCCTCCACCAATTGTCATAACCAAACAGACCCAGCCGCTGTCTTTCCTCCACATTGCAACAGTAATCAGCCACCAATCACCACACTGCCCAGTAGCACCGACAGCCTCAAACAGCTTCCCAGCAAGCATACCACTCCACCCAGCAACCACAGCAACTTAGCAACCTCAATCCCAGTCGACCCAGCAACTAGACCAAGCGGCCATCACTCAAACAACAATCAAACCAACCGACTGAACCCACTGCCACACTGCCCAATAGCAACTGACTGAACCCACTGCCTAAACAACATACTTCACTGAACCCACCGACTGCCCAGACCACACCAACAGCCAGCATTACCCATCTTTCTCTTCACCGACAACACAGCTAACCAGCCATAACCGACAGTACAGTGCAGTCATAACCAACAGCGTAACCCACCGACTTCACCAAACAAACCCATTAACTTATACCATTCCAGCGACCAGACACATATATCAACATATACCAAGTTTGCCATCAACAAACCAGCATAACCGAACAAAATAAGTAAAAGACAAAAACTTAGAACACAAAAGACAAAATCAGCAAAACCCATTACAATCCAGCGAACACAGTACCCATTACAGCTTCGTATTTTTGCCTTCGTACGCCTGATTATTTGGGACCGTAGGACATTTTAAGAGGGAATGAATTTTCTTCTCCTTTGATTTGCTCTTGATGCAGTAGATCATTTATTTATATTTATTGAATTTCTGAGCACCGTAACCTGATTATATGGGAGCTTTACTTGACCTTCTTTATTTGTCGCTACTATTCGACTGAAGGTATATTGTTCCCCCTTATTTTATCCATCTATTTATCTTAGAGTTAGTTTTTTCTATCACGGGTGCCCACATATTATTATTATTATTGTTATGGCTATTACTGTTGAGACCTCTGCTGTTAGTACTTCCACCTGAAATGTACCTCCTAGTTCTCGTCAGTGTGATTATTGTGGCCGACCAGGACATCTCAGGGCTACTTGCTGGAAGCTCTATCCAAAGCTTAAGCCACCTCCCACCTGGAATGTACCTCCTAGTTCTCATCAGTGTGATTATTGTGGCCGACCAGACCATCTCAGGGCTACTTGCTAAAAGCTCTATCCGGAGCTTAAGCCCCCGCCTCGCAGCCGTACTGCTGCTATTGTTGAGGTACCATCACCTACTACTGTTGTTCCTACTGCTGCTCCTCCTTGGCAGAGTGATATAGATGTTATCATTTTCCAATTAGATATACTTATGTCCGCTCTGACTTCTCAGGGTCCGACTACTGCTACTGCTACTGCCACCACTACAGGTATACCTTGTGCCTTTCATACTTACGCCAATTCGTCTCCCCTTTGGATGTNACTACCGTAATTGCTCCTTCTTGGCAGAGTGATATGGATGCTATCACTTCTCGCTTGGATATACTTATGTCAGCCCTGACTTCTCATAGTTCGACTACTACTGCTGCGACTACTACAGGTATACCTCGTACCTTTCATACTTGCGCCAGTCCGTTTCCCCTTTGGATGCTGANAGACTCGGGTGCGAATGGTCATATGACAGGTGAGGCCCATCACTTCACCACTTTTGATGGCCAGTTACATACACAAGTTCAGCTAGCAGATGGGACACATGTCCTTATTGTTAGTAGGGGTACAGTCCGCCTCCCAGATGACTTTACATTACATTTAGTTTTTCATGCGCCAAAATTGGCCATGAATCTATTATCCGTACATCAGTTAGCCAGAGATTTTCACTGTGCAGTTGTGTTTTTATCTGATTCGTGTTATTTGTAGGACCTGAGTACCAAGAGGATTATTATCGGGGGAAATGAGAGAGATGAATTGTATTATCTAGATGATCCATCTCTAGTTTCACCAGTTCCTCCACCTCTATCACCTGCACCTACTTTGTCTTTATCTGTTCCCAGTTTGCATGCTAGTATTTTGCCTAGTACTTGTCATTATGATTTTTCATTACAAACTGTTCAGTTGTGGCATGACCATTTTGGCATACAAATTTTAAATATTTATGTATGTTATTTCCTTCTTTAAGCAATGCTCGTGTTGGTGGTAAACTTGATTGTGTTATATGTTCCCTATCTAAACATGTTCGGACCAGTTATATTTCTTGCATGCACCAGTCATCCAAGCCATTAGACCTAATACACTCTGATATTTGGGAACCCTCTCTTATTACTGCTCTGCAGGTGCTCGATACTATGTGGCATTTATAGATGACCATACCGGTTGTACTTGGGTCTACCTTTGCATAGGAAATCTGATGTACTCCCTGTCATCACTCAGTTTCTCTAGATGATTAAGACACAATTCTATGTCATTGTTTGTACTCTTCATTCGGATAATGCCAAAGAATATGTGTCTGATGCCTTAGTGTCTCACCTTTCTTTTCAGGGTAGCCTTCAGCAGCTCACTTGTCCATATACTCCTGAGCAAAATGGAGTTGCTAAAAGAAAAAATAAGAGTCTAATAGGGATGGTACGTTGTATGCTTAGAGGTATGGGAGTACCAAAATCTTATTGGCATTTTGTTGTTTTAACTTCTACATTTTTGTATAATCATACACTGAGTCGTGTTCTTCAGCATAGAGCTCCCTTACAGGTCTTATTCCCTGAGCGGACACTTTTTTCGATTTCCCCTCATGTTTTTAGCTGCACATATTTTGTTCAGAATCAGTCTCCTACTTGCCATAAGCTTGATGATAAAGCGATTCGTTGTGTCTTTGTGGGCTATTGTCATCAGTTTAAGGGGTATAGATGTTATGATCCTATCAGACGTCGTATGTATCACAGTCTAGATGTTACCTTTCTTGAGCAAATTCCTTATTTTTCTTTCACTCCTGTATCTGCCCCTCCAGTTGATGATACTCCCTCTGATTTTCCGTTACCACAGGAGCCGAAGTCATTGGTCACTATCACCACAGAGTCATCAGTCTCTCCTCCACCAAAGCCACTCGTCCCTGTCACTACAGAGTCACCAGTCTCTTTTCCTTTGCAGGTTTATGCTCGTCGCCCTGGCTCTCATCCCCCTGTTGATGTCCCCTCTATCTCAGGTGATGCAGGTAATATTTCTCAGTTCGTTGAACATATTGATGCACCTGTTGTTAGTACTGATGGAATTGTAAGTACTGAGTCAGTGACTTTCCTTGATGAGACATTGTCAGTGGAGGATGATGATTTAGGGGGTCGTTATCCGCAGCGTGATCGCCGTCCAGTTGTCCGTTATGGTTGGACCGTCAGGACTTTATATCCGATCTCTGCTTATATTTCTTATGGTGATCTTTCTCCTACATTTCAAGCTTATAGTATGGCCTTATCAGATACGCCGGTTCCTCGCTCTGTTTTAGAGGCTATGCGGGAACCCCAGTGGGTTCTTGCCATGCAGACGGAGATGAACGCTCTTCAGCGTAATCATAAATGGGATCTTGTCTCCTTACCTTCAGGGGTGAAGCCTGTTGACTGTCGCTGGGTTTACATCCTGAAGTTTCTTGCGGATGGTACTATTGATCGTCACAAGGCTAAGCTTGTGGCAAAGGGTTTTACTCAAGTACCAGGTTGTGATTTTGCTGCTACCTTTGCCTCCGTGGCAAAATTGACTACTATTCGATTGATTATTTCTCTGGCTGCGGAGTGCTCTTGGCCTCTTCATCAGTTGGATGTAAAGAATGCATTCATTCACGGTAATCTGAACGAGATTATTTATATGGATGCACCATCGGACTTTTGTGGTGAGGGAGAGTATGCTGAAAAGGTATATCGACTGCGTAAGTCTCTCATCATACCTGCTTCATTCGACGGAATACTTCTAGACAGTGTCATCCTTTTGGTATATGTTGATGATATTATTATTACTGGAGATGATGTTTCTAGAATTGTGCAGGTCAAAATAGACCTTGGAAAGGCCTTCGATGTGAAGGACCTTGGATTTTTGCAATACTTTCTTGGGATTGAGGTTGTCCGTGGCAGAAAGGGTATTATTCTTTCTTAGAGAAAGTATGTTTTGGATCTTCTCTAAGACACTGGGATTCTAGGGTGCAAACCGGCATTATCACCCATGATTTCAAACCTGAAGCTTACTGCTGAAGGGGAGGAGTTGAGAGATCCAACTGTTTATCAGAGGTTGGTAGGTAAACTTATCTACCTAGCCAACACTAGGCCAGACATTTTATTCGCTGTCAGCCGAGTTAGTCAGTTCATACACAGACCATGTCAGCCTCATCTTGATGCAGTTTATCATATCCTTCGGTACCTCAAGTCTTATCTTGGACTTGAGTCGTTCTATGCATCAGGATCTCAGACTGGTCCTCTAGCCTGTTATTTAAATTCAGATCATAGGGGATCGTGTGACAGTCGATCTACTACGGGCTTCTGTGCTTTTCGAGGGGCTCATCTTATCTCTTAGAAGAGCAATAAGCAGTCAGTTGCCTCTCGTTCGTCAGCAGAGGTAAAGTATCAGGCATTGACACTTGGCACATGTGAGATTATCTGACTACGATCGATTCTTGGCAAGTTGGAATTTTCAATGACTTTTTCATTCACATTATATTGTGATAATCGATCTGTTATTCAGCTTGCTACTGACTGTGTATTACACAAGAGAACAAAGCATATAGAGATCGATGTTCACTTTCTTCGGGAGAAGGTTAGCAGTGGTATTGTCACTCCATCGTTTGTGGAGACCAGTGATCAGATTGCGAATATTTTTACCAAACCTATCACTTTATCCATTCTCCAGGACTCCGTTGTCAAGCTTGACTTAGTTTACATTTTTGCGCTTAACTTGAGGAAGAGTATTGGAATCATAGCAGCCTAATTTATTAGGCCTAGTTTATTAGGGTTATTTTTCTCTTTATACCCTTATTATGACTTTTATATTTTGCCTAGACTATAGGGAAGTTTAGGTCACTTTGTAATATTATTTGGCTATATATACAGGGCTTTACTCTTAGTTTGAGTATCCCTTTCACTCACATATATCTCTTGTTTACGAAAGACCAACTAAAAAAATTTCCTTTTCCTTGTTACAAAATGGAAAAAAAAAATTCACAGGAATTTAAGTTGCATCTTTACTATTTGAACCGAAACACTACAAAATACATTAAAGAATGATCAGATCTCAGAAATCTTTGTCCTCTAAAAGTGATGAATTTAATAACTTTTAAAAAGAGATTGAATAAAAGTTAAAAGATTTTTTCGGGATCGTAGATCATGCAAGGACCATAAAGTCATTCCTGGCAAGAGCTTTACCTCACAATATAGGATAATAGTACTAGATATATTTGTTAAAAACATTAAAAGACATATTAATGTGGAATACAATGGTAAAACATATTAAAAAAGTAGCTATTGAGGTTGTTGGAGAATCAAGAGATAATGAACAATTAGCAAGAGAAATTTGGTGGTTGAATGATGAGGTCCAAATTGCGATAAAATCAGAAGGAGAGTGCTACAAAACATGGCAAAAAGTAAAAACGAAGAGAGTTGCAAGCTTGCAAATAAAGAAATAAAAAAGAAGGTAAAAGGTGTCAAGAATAAAACATATGATGATCTTTACTCTAAACTGGATACAAAGGATGGGGAGATAAACATATAAATATATACACTTGTTAAATTGAGAGAAAGAAAAATTAGAGATGTTAATCATGTTAAATGCATTAGGCTTGAAGTCTCGATGGTTTTGGTACAAAATAAGAAAATTAAATAAAGGGGGAAGAATTAATTTGGAACATAACAACATTTTTCCCTCTTATAACAAAAGTTTTGGGGGTAATCATCCAGAAAAATATTAGAGTTTTGAGTTATATGTCATCCGAAACTAACAAAATTAACCAAGGGGAATGAAAGACAATCAACAATTAAACATTATATAGTCTAAAGGCAAACATGTACCTTCTTGGCATCCATTTGACTTTCCAAAACTCTAGGAGATAGTGTTCTTGCCAAGGAAGTTGAGCTTGACCAACCAAATAGTGAGGCCTGACCTCTAAGAATTCGTCTCAGATGCTCCTGGAAATGGAATACTAATGTAAATCAAACTTTCTTTTTCACTGGTGAAGCCAAAATATAGATTATGTCACCGATCATGATAAATCACTTGAGATAATATCCGGACTGTAAAATAAACACGACTCAAAAATGGAAGAATCTTTTTTCGACAGTGTCTCCATTGTCAGATTTTTTTTAACGCAGTTTTTTGAATTTTATTAATTCCTGCCCAACATGCTCAGAGGAAAAAAGAACTAGAAAGAAGAAATTCATGCAGAACCCAAATCCATAATATTTTCAAGGATCCTCGAATTCTACTTCTTACAAAGTCAGAACTCAGAAGAAGCATGCAAGTGCACAATCTGTTTATTATGCAGAATAGAAAAAATGCAGTTTTTAATTAAATCCATAACAAGTTCAGCTTAGAGCATGCAACTGTATGACAATATGAAAATGATCAAGCATAAACAAGTGCACTCATTTATGAAGTAGAAACTTTGGCTCCATAGTCACTAACCAGCAAATGAGAGAAATCAAGCTCCTTGTGCGTGACTGAGAACTCTATATCAAATGGTGCAATCTGGAAGGCCAAGTTGCAGAGTTAGTCATGTTTTAATCTGATTATTATGCTCACCGATATTAACAGCAAGCGATAACCTGCTCCCTTAAAATAAGAAGATGCTTTATAAGGAAGAGTTGCCCATCCATTGGTGAAGATTTTTTCACAATGAGTTTGCTTGCTTTCTGCAACAAATAAGTATAACCAATTTTTTTTTATCAGTACATATTATAACAACAAAAGAAGGGTCTGTTTGTAAGGCCACTGATCAAATTCTCGATTGCCCCTAAAAGAGAGAACATAACATAAGGACAACACAGACTCACTGCAGTAAGAACTGTCAGATGCTGAAGACAACACTAATAAAGTTTGTTGTTAGCTCACTCACTTGGATGGATAAGGAACAAACTTCTACCGCTTCCTGATAGAGACAGCAAACCAAACAATCGAATAATGAACGGGATAAAGGAGACAACTTTAATCTAAAATTCACAAGAGTAACCTAGCAAGAGAAATACTTATATACCTGTGCCAAACCGGTGAAAACAGGCGGTTCTAGACAACGATCCAACTTTGACAAACATGATAGAGTTTTCTCAAGGGGACGATACCAAGTTTTAAAGATATCTGGACTTTGATCTGTCTGCAATTTGACAATAAGGAAAGAACAGGTACGGAGCTCATTCAAATGGCATTTCTTAAGTCTAACAAGAAGATCATAAAATAAATGAAAAATTCAGAAACCAAGAATCAGAGGAGTACAACTGAAGCTTGTAAAATGGAACACAAAAAAAAAAAAAAAACAAATCACAGGAGTATAAATAGCAATCTCTCAACTAAAATGTAAGTGTTTTATATTTACTCAGTTCTTCATGCACGATAATCACATAAAAAGGCGGGCTAAGGCACTTACTGCAGTACTTTCTGATTTCATCTCAGCCGATCGCTCCAGCTTTGTGGGATAATCCAAATCGTCATCAAAAGGAACATAATTCGTGATCTAATAAATAGGCACATTAGGGACCCAAAATATTAGCAAGAAACAGTGGGTTCATCAAACAACTGTCATGAGCATTCAATGGATGGCACTAAAATAGAGAGCGGTAGAGAGAGCAGTCAACAGATATCAACTGTGATAAAAAAAGGCAGGGAAATTGTTGCCCATCGATATTGCAGACAAATTCTTCGTCTCATGCTTGACAGTTGCATTTAGCGGCATTATAAGTTGTCTATGGGCAACTGAAAGCGAAGCATGAAACCTATGGGCAATCTCTACTATATATAACCATCCAGATAGGCAGATACAACTAGTGGTGTGCAAAAAGAGGCAATGAATAATAAACAACTAAATAAAGACCAACGTTCACATGTATCAAAGATACCATATGAACGAATATACTCCATGCACGTCATTATGAAGAATTCATATTTTTATAACTATTCAATTGTGACATAAAAGACAAACAAATAACCAAAGAAGAAGTGAATAAATAAAACTATAGGTGGCAATAATATCAACCCAAGAAGAAATTTATGCCACCTCAAGATAAACGGCAAACAGAAGAAAGCTAAAATATTGAGAAGTTGATGCAATATAATTCTCAAGTGTGATGCCAACCTCATCACAAATGTGCGTTCGAGCACGAAAAGTTAACCGCTCGTGAACATCTGCTAAAATCCTGTCTAGTGTAGGAGGTAGTCCAGCTAAAGATTCACTTCGTCTGCTCAGTTGTTCTCCTAGGACTTCAACTTTGAGAATGTCAACAAGTTCACAAAGAGTATCAAGATTTGTTTCATGAATAAGTCTTGGGCGCAACGTGTCATACAAGTTAGTACACCTGTAAATAAGGTAACAGCAATGTACGAGTAAGACACAACAGTTCAAGGTGAATCAGCCATACCACAAAATATCCATTAGCTTTAACCAAACCAAACCTGAGAGAACTTACAGAGGATCTATCAAAGGAGCCAAGCTAGAAATATCCTTGGAAGAAGATGGAAAAAAATGATCAAAGAGTTGGTGCTCATGCTGACACACCTGAAATTAGAAAAAGTCCAATCATAATGTTTTAAAATCTCTCTCCCCAATGTCTTTTTTTACTGGCATACAGATGCTTCCAACGCACATCAAAAAGCGTAACTGAGAGAATAAAAGGACACGAAAAAATGTTAAAGTCACTAAAACAAGAAAAACAGGATAAGATTATAAAATGAAGTCATTCATGAATTAAAATCTTAGTGTTTAACATCAAGGAATCAAATTCAGACCACACTCTTTTATCTCAGTTGTTAGAATAATGCATATAGACATCCTTGAAGCCCCCCTCCCCCAGGGCAGAGAAAGAGTGTGAGAAAGAGTGGTAAGTGCATAACAACATAAGAGAAATATGCACAGGAATCAGGATACATTATTTTTGCCAAGTGATTTTTCATGCACATTCATCTACTGAAAACATAAAAGCATGCCATACTCTTGGAGTGTCCCAAGCATGCCAGAGTTCATTCAATACAACCTCGACAAGAGCCCATCCACATTTCTAGAAAACTAGGAATTGAAATGACAATAAAAATAGACCATGTTTGCTCCAGTGTTTTTCTGTCTTTTAACTTTTTTTATCTTGCATGTTCTGTGCAGTTGGATTTGAACCCGTAGCCCAACCATGCCATTCCGCTTTACCTCCTGAATCAATGCCACAAGGATGGGGCAATGTTTTGCTTCAATGTGTAATCAAGTACGAAACCAAATCTAACATTATATAGGCGAAGAATTTGGTTGAGTGACTTTGCCGCATTTGGAAATATTGTTACACTCCAGCCCTAAGGAATAGATAAGACTAGGTACTCTTATACCATTATTTTTAGGTACAAAATCATGAAAAATGAGCCACACAAAACTTGTTTTATGGTTCATAGTCAACCTTCTGATACAAACATAATCTGACCGATTATGAACACAAATTTAATCTGAATCCCTCTAACCAAACCTCCAATTTTATCCTCTACCTCAACCCAAAACAAAAAAGAAAGGAAAAAAAAAAAGAAAGGCTTGTAAAGAAGGGTAAATTAGTCCACCACATACTCCATACTATGCTATAGCCATTCTTAACATTTAATTTGTAACGATTTTTTAACTAGGAAATGGAGAAACCACAAAATATGGGTCCACATAGTGTCTTGAAGGGTATTGTCCACTTTTCATATTTTGCAAATTTTTTAACTATGAATAAAATATCAAGGAACACTAAGGGAAAAAAATGCCTATCCACCAAATACAACTAAGAAGAATACAACATTCAATAATTTTAATGGTCCATCCAATTCAAGTCTCACTTTCAAAATGACACATTCAGGTTTTCTCTCATATCAAAGACTGACAACCTTTGTTTAAAGGATACGAATTAATTTAAAGACCACCTGCATGAGATACGCACAACCAGATCTAGTCAATGACGGCAATGACTCTTTCTTGGCAAATTCAGAAATCCGTTGATGCACTATACCCCTTACCTAGATAACACAAAAAGATAAGACCAATGGTTTAACCGAAAACTGATGAGCTGTAGAATCAAAAATGTTTTTAAGAAAAATTTGGTAACTAGAACAAAACTATAAATCATCTACAGGATAAAAATCATCAGCTCACCAAGGAGAGTCTCTGTTCGCAGTATAGTTTGTGGCATTCTGCAAGAATTTGAACATATTCTTTCCTTGATGATCTGCTTTCAATTTCCTCCAACACTGGCTTAAGCTGCAAAGTCTTACAGCTATCAGTCTTATCCATCAACCAAAGCTCAAAACAGTCACACCACAAAATCCTTTCCCCAACTCAATTCCCAAAATATCACCCTGTTTTCATGCTCCCACTCCATTCACTCCTTTAGTGACTTATCTGTCCTCATATCTCCACTCAGACAATACCTAGTTCTAAAATGAAGGATATAAGGAAAAAACAATATTACCTCACTTGCTGCCACCTTGAAGCGGACATATATAACCGATGTCTCCAATCCCTCAGAAACTGCTGCTTTACTGCCATTATTGCTTTGAATTGCTGCCTGAACCTGGTGAATAAACGAAAAAGCATTTGATAGACATTTCTACGTAATTAAACTAAATTTTAAATACATGTTTTTTATAGGGTATCAAACAAACAAGTATATACCCATAGTACGTAACCATAAGTGGGCTTTACCTGAGAGGAAGTGCTTTTGAGAACAGAAAGCACATGAGAACAAATTATACCCAGGGCTCGAGACTGTCACAGAATGCATTTTCTTAGTTTCCATGGACCAAGCAAATTTTAATGACAGTATAAACACCACACACTGCCTTGTAAAATACAATTGTACTCCCATAGGTACCTGAAATTGTCGAAATTTGACCAAGTAAACGCTGGACTCTGCATACTGTGGATTACTTTCAAAATACCTAAACTCCAACAAGAGTTTATAGAAATGAGCATACATATGTATCCACATATATATGCACCGATGATTAACAACATGAAGAGAATAACAATTCCTGCACCAACATGGTTTAGAACAGATGCCAACATAATGCATCCCGATGGATTTAAAAATTTACCCAATTACAAGTTTCACCATCCACTATACATCAGCATGGTCGAGACTTGCTTATTTTAGATGCAAGTAGTTATGCACAATGAGTGGTTTGATAAATTCTTCACTTACGATATGCACTCATCAAGTCTTTTGAGCAGTGGAAGAAAATTCCCATTGGCGAGGGTCATATATGGAGAATAAAAACTGGTAGCAACCTGCAAATAGGTGGTCATCCAAATAACCATGAGACTTATAGATCTAGATGGACCTGACTATTCTCATTAATAAGTGGAAGATTTCTCATCAACAATGAACAACAAAAGACATCTAGAACGTCAAAAGTGAAGATAACGCAGGGAATAACAAATTATAAGATTCACTATAATACAAAATAACGAGAGTTACAGCCTTAATAAGGTGACTTTGTAATAAGTTAGAGCGTAATGACTAAAGCATTCACTTCACTAACTAAATCATGCACATCACTAATTTTGTCTCTCTTTCTAATTTTTGTTTTGTCAGGTGGAGTTTTTTATTTTCCTTTCTTTATTTTTTTATTTTTTTATTTTTTTTTGGGGGGGAGGGGGAGGGAGGGGGTCTGTCACATGGCTATTTTTAAAATCTCTGAGTAACAAAAGCTTTTGCTTTTGAGTTTGAACAAAATTTTGAATACTAATAAAGACAGACATTGCCAAGCACTGTTAATCTCATCCATCATGTCATGGACCACCATGAGGGATTTTTACAATGTGCTCAATTCTATCCCTCAAAGTTGTTTCCTTTCAAAGCATTGAGATGCTAACCCCCTGATGCAATCAACATGTCAAAAGTCCAAGAATTCCAATTGGCTCATTGCCTCAGTTGGCAATCAAAGTTCACTTCTGGTTCATCGGATTTTTATGGAGACTTGAGATATATTTCCATCGTGCCACCAAGGAGAAGAAATCAACCTTGCAAACCAGCTGTTCAACCGCATTCCAAGCATCAATAGATCAATAAAAGGTGCTCGCCATGATCGAAGAAATAAGAAGGCAGATTGAATCTTTAGCCAAGCACATTGCGCAAAATCAAGCCCCTTAAGTGGAACTGAATCTGAAGAAGAGATCAATTTCCGTAAAGAGGGATCCATAATTCCTATCAAAAAGACCATTTTTGTAAACCGGCGTCCTTTTCATTTGATAATTGATGACAGGATAACGGGAATAAAGAAGATATTATGGATACCTGAGAGGAGACACAAAATGAAGCTTATTTTGACTTGGCACCAATATATGATGAGCACATGGATGGCAACTTTTCGGGTAATGAGAATCCTTTGTGCTGGTTAGTGAAGATGTTGAACCATGGAATACTCCTATATTTGATGAAACCCCTCAGCCTTACTGCATAATTGATGTCAAACATGTAGTATGCATTAGGATGTTCCATCAATTATTTATTATGATGGCCGAAGAGAGCAGATGTGACGATTCTTGATTTTTCTGTCATGCAACTGATATTCCACTGCCTAGTACCAGATTAGAATTCAACTTTTATTATGATAGAAACGAGAAACTTGATCCTCTTGGGAAAGAATTTACGCATCAAGAATCAATACAAACTCATAAGAGATCTGTTCAAATTTGGCAATCCATTGAGAAGCAATTCTCAAGTTCAAATTAGTATGAAGGAATTGCTTAAACAATGACACGACAAAGTTGAACAATTTACCATCGATTTTTTAATCACAAAAGGTACCCAAAACACTCAATGACCTTAGGAATATGCCCTAGTGAGATTTCTCATATACAATTTTGCAACACCAATTGCATCACCCCTTAATGAGTAGATTGTAAATGAATGTGAAATGGTGCCTCCTTATAAAGTTCAGCCCATGTAGAAGTTGGAGGAATGTGCAGGGACCAAAAGGAAGTAATTGTCTTTTTGCTTTTCAGTGGAAACTCGATTGGGTGTCTCATCTAAGGCTAAGATGTCCATGTCATTGACACTTCAACAACGGAGCTTAAGTGGTGCAAGGATCACTGAAAGCTATCTGATGCAAAACCTTTTGGCCAAGAGGAAGATTTGTTTTGGCACATTAGGATGTGTCTTTTTTGCCTATACATCTACCAGTTAGTTGTCTTTTCATTAACAGTATAACGTTTCTCCTCAAATTTCCTAGGTATAAGAACACCACATTGTCTCATGTAACCTATTGTTATGAAATGTTCATTATCGATGAGGCTCTGCCCTTTCTCCAATAAGGCAAGCATGGGTGAACATCACATAGGGCATAATCCTAAGGCTATGTTATTCAGAAAGCTCACTGTAAAATATTAGCTGAAGACATAGTTTAAGTTGTATAAAATATAAGGTTATTAATTTGTCAAAACCTCAAATTAGGATTTTTTAAGGTATTGAGTTAAACAGAATATCGAATATTAAACTAACGGGCTAAATATGAAAATCTTAGATAAAAGGATGGACAGAGGATTTACGCGATAATTTAAACAATGCATATTAAATAAATGATTCCATTAAATTTTTGAAAGCGGCTCTGAGATGATCATAAATATTGAAAGTAGTCAGACTTGTGAATCTTTTAAGGTTCTTCAACATTTGAATTGTATTGGAACTTGTAGCATTTGGATATATGACATCATATTCACAACACCATTCTAGTCAGTGGTCTACCAAACAATGAAATGTTATCTGTCAAAGGTTACACTTTGAATTTGAATTTAAGAACACGGTTTTCCTCCAAAGGGCCTCCTTTATGTTCTTTGGTAAAGAAGGGAAGAAATGAAAAGGCATTGAAGCAGTCAAATAAATGAGAACCTCCACTGGAGATAGCAACTCAAAAAGCTCCATCTGATGCAACTTTTCAAAGTCTTTGACTGAGCTCATGGATGTTATAGCATTAGAAAGGGATACACATTACAATCCTTTTGAAGTTACAGTTATGTAGACTAATGGATAGAAAACTACAAAGAGTTCACATGATCCATAACAAAATGTTCAAATCTTACGTTTTCCAATTCATCAAAGTAGTTGAGCTTACTACGAAGTGATTCTGCAAATTCTATCAGTCTTTGCTTCTCTAGCAGCTGCCACCGAAACAAGGCAAAAATGTCAATTCAAATTGTGAACCAACACTTTTTCTCAAAAGGATTTAAAAGTATTCAACATAGAAAACACACAACTGACAATGTTTTGACTTGTGTGCCTAACGTAAGCTACCAAAAGGACAAAATATTCTATAGAAATAAGCTTTCACCCAAAGGTTGGTTTTCGAAATCTTAGCAACAAAGCCTTATGGAAATAAATAATGACAGGGACTATATAGGCACTTGATGAATATGTCTAAAATCTTTTAATCCTGCATTGAATTATCAATTTCTGCTGCATTTGTCGGCGTTCCAAGCCTGTGCCCCACCAAGTCAAGAAAGGTCCATATTAAGCATTCAAGAAATGTAAATAAAATGAATTAAGTAAAACTCTAATTTAGTATATGAAACCAGGGTCTAATTTTTGCCAGCATCGTTAGCTAATGAAATGCTAAATGTTGAGGAGAAAAGCAAAAGAAAACCACACCCGTCTGTCACATGCATCATGAACAGATTTTGTCTTTGTTGCCACTGCTTGATGCTCCAGCTGTTGATCATTAAACAGATCAAGGGTTTCATCAACCTGCGAGGAAAGTAGTTCATCAAACCATTAAGCTGACTAGTAGCAAGAAAGAACTTCCCAATAAATATTACCCAAAAATCAGCACACTAAATCTATAGAAATACTAGAAAAGCAATAAGGTTTGAAAGGGAAAATATTATGTTACCTGATGAAGTATGCCATCACATTTCTGTATACGATCTGTTAAAGTATTTACATAGCACTGATATTTTTCTTCTGCCTATGCACACAAAAAACATCAGATGCCACTTATGCTCGCAATTGCTCAAACAACAAAAACTTCAATTGCAGAATTACAGCTAACCTCTGATTTCATGGCTGCTTCAAGATCCATAAACCAGTTATAAAACTGCAAGGAAGATAATGCAAATTAAGAGTAACAAAGATTCAGAACTACAGCTCCCATTTGACAGAAATCTTAATCACATTAGAGAAAAGTTAGAATAGAAAAAAATATATGACCAGAAGAAACTACATACCTTTGGTAGCAAAATTTTATTATACTATACTATTGGTTATGAGCAAGGCTTGCAAATTAGCGTAGAGAGACGTTCAAATACAAGAAACATATTGTGAGGACAAAAAAGAGAAAATAGAAGAAAAAAAAAATGAAACTATTATAGGAAAAGAATTAAAGAAGCACGAAGCTAGAAGTGAAGTCCTCACAAATCAACTAGCTCAGTTTTGCCTTGCCTACTATTCAATGTCGGTTGTGTAGAATTCTTAAGATGAAAAATAATTTCTACAAGATAGTTAATAGACCAACAATGTTTTATAGTACAGAATATTGGATAATTTAAAGAACACCACACTCAAAAGCAAAGTGTGATAGAAATGATAGTGTTCGGATGGTTGTGTTTTTCCCAAGATAAAATTATGAATGAGTACATTTGTTAAACGTTACAAGTACCACCAACAGGAGATAAACTAAGACAGAATTGACTTAACTGGCTTGCACATGTTCCTAAAAAACCTTACTCCACCAATAACAATAAGGAAGAGTTATGTGATACCTATCGATGGTAATGCAAGAGATAATAGACTAAAATTAACATCAAATGAAATAGAAAAAGAGAATATGATAGCTTGTTGTTTAATAGAAAATATGACCTCGATATAGCGCAATGGAGGCACATGATTCTTGTAACCGAATGCAAATAGTTGGGGGCAAAACTTTGTTAAATTGAGCTGTACTTAGTTCCGGAATATAACCGCAAGCTGCAGTTAATGTACAATGGTCTAAAATTAAATCAAACTCCACAAAGTAGTAGTCATTGGTCTATTTAATTTTAGACCATTGTAATTCAACATGCAATAAAGCATGGCCCTCCTTGTATCTTGGTGGTTGTGGATCTAAAATCCTCACTCTAGGGTCAGGGGTTTAAGGGCTGGCGCAGAGAGAGAGGATAGAGAGAAGAATTTGAGAAATTATAAAATACCTCCCCTTTAAAAAAAAAAAAAGGGGGGGGGGTGCACAAACAAAGCCCCCAATCCCTGCTCCATCTTTGGAAATGTAATATAACCTTAGAGAGAAAGAAAGCACCAATTCCAATAAAATTGATCATGCTAGTCAACCACCATATATATAGGAATAAGCGGTGACATCATATATATTACATGGAGAATTGACTATCTCTTCAAAGGCAATAAAATATGCCACAACATCTAAATACGAAGTGAATTTATTGCATTAAAGATGACAAATAACATAAAATGAGTTTGATACGACACCACATGAAGTGGCAGTTGCCATCCTCCATTAATTTTGTACATTTACATCTTCCAATGAAATGAAAGTTTTGTTTCTTATAAAAAAATATTAGTTCATTGTTTATCTTCATTAAGCTTCTCTTTATATAAAGTCACGTTTGAAAAAATAGTCACCCAAGGCAAACTGTTATATTCTACAAACTTTTAAACTTCATGCGAAATACAGTCAGCACCCCATAGTTAACACCTATTACAAAAACTTTAAACACGTGACAGCATATCACACTCCAGTTGATCTTTATAACGTGTAATACCAAAAGCAACTTACTTTCCCAGTGAACTTTCAACATGGCATATCAAACCACCCCCCCCCCCC